TCTCCACAACCTCACCAGCATTTGTTGCTTGCTATTCTTACTGGGGTGAGATGATACCTCATAGTTGTTTTAACCATTGGCAGTTTTTCACCTCACAAACCGGATGGAGGATTGCTGTGAGACAGAACATGACTCAACACCAGTAAATTAGTAAATACTGCGGGGATCTTAAACATCAGTATATTTCTTTTTCCTAATGTTCTGCTTAAAAAAGCCATTCGACTTGGTAAATGCTGATTTTGAAGTCTAGCAATCCTGGGTTCAGTTACCTGCTCTGTCACATACTAGCTGTCACTGTGGGCAAGTTACATAACATTCCAGCATGTCCATTCACACAGTGAATGTACCAGAAGCTCAAGCATATCAGAGATCACCAAGGATAGGGCAAAGTCCAAATCTGTTCATAGGGTCACAGTGAGTTGAAGCACCCAACAACAGCAGCAGCATCATGAGGGAAACAGGAGCCCTGGTAGTAGAACTGACTCCTGGTGTTTTGATTAGCATGGCAGTTCACATTCGTCCCGCAAAGAAAGATGTGGTGATTATCTTCTTGAAAAGTCTAGGAGTCAGTTCTGCTGTGTCACTTGGGGTCAACTTATTATGAGTTGAAATCAATTCACTGCACCTAGCAACAAAATGAGTGTTAGGGATTGAACTGTGTGTCTCCACCCCAGCCCCTAAAAAAATACATATTTGTTACAAATTCTGATCTCTATGCTTGTGTTTAGAATTCCCTTTGGAAATGGATTGTCTTTATTATGGAGTCAGGGTTAATGTAGGTTAGGTCTATGCCAGTCTTGTTTGAAATGTAAGAGAGATTAAACACAAGGTAGATGCAGAGATGGAAGAAGAGTAATGACATGAAGATTGCCCAGGAGCAGGAAGTGCAAAAGAGCCAGCGGAGAGAAAACCTTTTCCTGGAGTTCGCACCCTGAATGCAGATGACTGTGAGAAAAGAAATGTTTGTGAAAGCCACCCACCTCAAGTACCGCTGTTAGAGTGTCCATAGATAACCACAACAGGAAGGATTAAAAGGTTTTGGATTTTCCTGACTTATTGTGGAAATGAAATAAGAAAACTTGCAGAAAATACTGTGGGCATGATAAGTTAACACTTATTTTGTCATAGCGAAATCTGGTGGCTTAGTCTATGAGGAGTTGTGCTGCTAACC